GGGGAGGACCGGCTGGCCACGCCAAGTGTGATTGATTGGGGCTGGCGCTGCAGACCTCTGGAAAGAGTTATTTTTATCTTGCTCTGAGCAAAGTTTTTCTCTCACCTTGCTGCAAACAGCTCATCAGGAGAGCGCTCTCCGGCCAGCGGCGGGGGCTCTGGCTCAGCGCTACAGGGGACGCGTGGCCTCAGTGAAATCTGCCGGCGATGTGCTGGGGCAGAGATGGAACTGATGATGCACCAAGGTGGGATGGGGGCTCCTGGCCAGCCCATGTCCTGCTGGGAGAACCCCCCCAGCAGACGGGTGCCTGTGCTGTGCAGGCAGCAGCACCCCCAGGAGCAGGCAGCTGTGGGAGGAGGCAGGCTTAGCAAGAGCCAGTTGTGAATAAATCCTGACCGTTCTCCATCCGTCCCGGGAGAGGTTAGGGCTAGGTTAGCCAGAGTGTGCAGGGCTGCCTGGAGTGCTGCCAGCAGCGGTTGTTTGTAGAAAAGTCAATCCCTGCAGACACCCCTCAACTCGATGTATTTATCACTGTCATGCACACAGAACAGACCGTGAAATCCAGTGTGCAGTGTCTCTGGCATCTTCTTTGCTCAGAGAAGCTGGAGAGGAGGACAGGAACATGTGGAGCAAAGGCAGAGAGAGCTTTGGGCATGGGCTGGACTGGTCGTGTTGGGTGGTTACATCAGGGATCATGAGCACTGCATGAGCTGCACGTGACCAGGAGACCAGGAGCCTCTCTGCTGCCTTCTTACTTTTTTTTTATTTTTTTAAAATGCTAAAAGTTGTTCCCGAATTAATCGTTTCATCTCAATGCTGCTCAAGGACGCAGTCTCTCCTCTTTCCAGCTCAGTATTTGAACTTCAGTGGTGGCTGGCATTTGATTGATGTTGCCATCTCTTTCTACTCTACCTCTGTCAAATCAAAGCTGCCTTCACAGCGCTGCTGCCGCAGAGACTCGAGCAGAAAAGCTGCCGAGCAGCCATCCCAAGGCGGAGGGATGGTGGGTGGCGGGCAGGGGTGGCAGGCAGCCTCAGATCAGCATGTTCGTTTGGTCTTCAAAACATCCCAGCGCTTCTCAACCTGCAAAGCGGCTTTTTTGCGCCTGTTTGTCCCCGTGCGTCAGCAGCAGCACCAGGGGAGTGAGCGGGTGAAGTATTTGAGGAGCAGGAGCTGCTCTTCTGTTACGTGTTTCCCTGTCTCACATGAAAAGCGCGTTTCAGCTGCTCCCTAATTGCTACAGAGCCGCGCGGCTTTGAAGTTCGTGCTGCGCATCCAGGCTCCGGTTTCCTCCGTGGTGGTGCTGTGGGATAGAGCTGCCTGCGCCCGGCCGGTTTGCATCCGTTTGATCCTAACCTCCTTTTTGCCTTGCCTCTTTTGTTTTGTCTTCCCGCCTCTGTGCCCTGCAGATTCAGAGGATGACGGAGAGTCGGAGGCAGCGAAACAACTGATTCAGCCCATAGCTGAAAAAATCATCGCCAAGTACAAAGCCAAAGAGGAGGAGGCACCGTTGCTCTTCTTCGTGGCGGGCGAGGTAAGCGGGAAGGGCACAGGGCTGCATCCTGCTGTGTCTTCATATGAAGACTGAGCTGGGTTGGGTACCACTGTCGCTGCCTTTCAGATGGGTAAACTGAGGCACAGAGCTACTGCAGCCGGTCAGGGACTGTGGAGCAAAGCTAGACCTGAGTCCCAGCTCAGTTCCCTGCTCTCGTTGCTGGATATTACTTCTGGCAAAGGGATCCCAGCTGCATTTGGCTTAGAGGTGGAAAACCCTGACAGCGGGCGAGAGAGCTGCTGGGGATGGGCAGAGAGGGGCTGGGGAAGGCAGGAGGGAGCAGGAACCACCACTCTGGGGCTGCCAGCCCCATGCTGCGCTGCCTGCTGCCCCCTCCAACCCTGAGGCTGTGCGGGCAGGAAAGCTGCTGGGCAGGGGGACAGAAGCCGAGACTTGAGTTTGAGCCCAGCCCAGCTAGAGCTGCTGCCTTTGTTCCCACCCCTGGAGGAGGACAAGGACTGGTGCTCCAGCCTCCAGTGTGGGTGCTGCTGGACAAAACCGCTCCTGGGAGCAGCCAGGGGCCGCTCAGGGAGCAGTGAGGTGGCATGGGGCTGTGCTCCTGCTGCCGGACACAGCAGGAGCATCCCAGTTCCACTCTGCCTTGCCCATGCCGTTGGTGGCTGGGGTGATGTTTGAGGCACACACAGGCTGCAGTGCTTGGAGCCAGGGATCTGCTGGAGAAAATAGGAAAACGGGGCTTCTGGCCTCCCTTTCCCCCCGTGCAGGGACTTTGCCCTGCTGCAGGCTTGAAAACAAGGAGCGTTTTGTGTAAGGGTCAAAAACCCTTCCAGCCCCACCCCAGCCTGCAGTTCCCCTCCCGAGGTTCTGCTGGGAGCCTGGGCAGGTGGCAGCCGCTGCATGTCTGTCCGCCTGCTCCGTCCGTTCCACGCTCACGTA